GCCACTCTAAAAAAAAGACGGGGCTTAGTATTACTAGCTAATAACCAGTGGCTTGGGGCTAGGGGATCAATGACATCAATTATCATTTGCCATATGTCCACCCGGGATACAGACTACCTTATGTGCATAGACATTGAGGGTTAAATGGCGTATGTTGTGCCCAACTAAGCTCAGTGTCCAACCAGGCGACACCGACACAGATACATACAGTACCAAAAGGAATTAGACAATTAAACAAGACACTCAAAATAGGATCTTTTTGTTAAGTTTCTAAGATAAAGATCACATACCTGGACTCAAGGGAAATGAAGGGCCACTAAGTTAAGATCTAGTGGTGCGGTGCCTAAGGCATTTGACTGCTAATGAGAAGGTAGGTGGTTCAAACCCACCAGCCAATCCTCAGAAGGAAGACTGGGCAATCTACTTCCGTAAAGATATCACCTAGGAAACCCAAGGAGGGAGTGCTATGAGTCGACCCGATTCGACAGCAGTGAGTTTGGTTTTTTCTGGTTTAAGTTAAGACCAAAGGAGCTCACCTAAGGCATTTGGCTGCTAACCAGAAGGCTGGCAATTCAAACCCACCAGGGAAGGAAGATGGAGCAATCTACTTGCACCTCAGAAGCCCAATGGGGGTTGCCATGAGCCAGAATTAACTCAGTGGCAGCGAGTTTGGTTTTTTGTTTGGAAGTTAAGACCAAGAAGGTTTGGTGGCCCAATAGTTAAGCACTCGGTGCTAACTGAAAGGTTGGTAGTTTGAACCCACCAGCGGCTCCACAGGAAAAAAAAAAAAAAACCTGGCAATCTGCTCCCATAAAGATTACAGCCTGGAAAATCCTACAGAGCAGTTCCACTCTATCATATAGGGTTGCTATGAGTTAGAATGAATGGCATACAGCAACAAGAGGTTGAGACTTCCAGTCTTTATATACATAAATTCAGTCACATTGTCTGTCATTTTAATCCTTATTCTGAGAAACTATAGATATTTTACAACTTACATAGTTATGAGAATCTCTTCCTGCTTAAAGCCTCAATTCCCATTATGGCAGCTGAATCCTAAAGCACTTCTACTAACTTGCTGGGGTGATTATTGGTAAACAGCAAAATCACTCAATAAGTTCCCATACACACCTGCCACAGACATACACAAAAGAGGACTATCCAGGCTTGAAGAAATACTAAATGGTTGGTAAACACTAGCGATATCGAGCAAGGGTTTTAACCCTGAGAATCCACAAACATCCCCGGCTGGAGCTCAGATGTGAGATAGTGCTGCTTCAATCATGCAAACCTATAACATTTTGCAGTCCCAGGGCCTTTGAGAAATCAGATGAGACCAAAAAGAAACTCGACAATAGGAATATTGATCAAGAATAGAACTTGGAGACAGGCATGT